TTTGTTTGTTTTTGAGACAGGGTTTCAATATTTAGCCCTGGCTGTCCTGGAACTCACTCTGTAGACCAGGCTGGCCTTGAACTGCCAGAGATTCATCTGCCTCTGCCTCCTGAGTGCTGGGATTAAAGGTGTGTGCCACCACCCCCAGCTCAGAACATTAGATGTTTTTTAATCTCCTGGGGTATACCAAAAACTGATACAATGAAACAATTTACAACCTAATTTTTTACTTAGACAACAGGCTTCATTTTGACCTTCTCATACCTGTCCTTTATCATATTCTCTCCCTAGCCCCCTTTACTGCTAGCTCTCTCAGTCTTTGTCTATTCTAGCTTACTTTCCTTAGGTATTTTCTTGAAAGTGTTTCAGACCTAAAATATAGGACAATTAAGGTAGACAACCAAAGGCAAAATACTAACCACACAGGCAGGCCTTGAATTCACAGAGATACCCCCATGTCTGCCTCCCGAGTGCTGAGATCAAAGGTGTGTGTCTCCACTCCTGGCCCTACTTATTTGCTTGAATTTATTTTATTTATCCGTGTGTGTGTGTGTGTGTGTGTGTGTGTGTGTGTGTGTGCGTGTGTGTGTCTGCCAAAAGAGAATGTCTTATCCGTCAGAGCTGGAGCCACAGGTATTTGCAGACTTTTATGTGGGTGCTGGGGTCCCCTTTCCGGTCTACCTGATTGCTCAGCAAGCATCCCTAACCACAGAGAACTCGGAGCTGAGGTGAGAGGGATGTGGGTGTAGCTCAAGTTCAAGGCCAGCTTGGCCCACACACACTCTATCTCAAAAACCAAAAGAAACACAGACAAATAAAAACCCCAAGGAGAGAATACGTGGAGGGTGAAGCAGTGTGGATGTGGTTCCCTAAGGGAACAGAGGAGCAAGGTGGAGTGTCTGCCTGGAAGATGCCAAGATTTGAATGAGTCTGAGAGAGAGAGAAATGAATATGAGCTCAATGACAGTGACAAAGGGGGCTTTGTAGGAAGGGAATAAAATCTGTGAGATGGCAGTCACCATGGCTGAAGTGTGTGCAGGACAGGAATGGCTGCAGCATGAGGTAGGGTGCAGGTGTGGAGGGGCCTTGGGCTGAGTTTGGGGTTCATCATCGTTTCAACAACTGTAAAGCAAAAGTACACACACTTGCACACACACACAATTTTTAACTTATTGTTTATTCATCTATATGCATGGGGATGTCTTTGCACATGCTTGAGGTTGCTAGCATAGGCAAGAGGGTGTCAGATCCCCTAAACTGGAATTACAGGTGGCTCTGAGCCACGTCTGGATGAGCAGGAAGTGTTCTTAACCTCGGAGCTATCCCTCAGTTCCCGTCTTAAGCAACGCACAGTTTTGTGGGTCAGTGGCTCCTTTTTCAGTAGCCATGAAAGATGGATAGAACAGGAACCAGAGGCTGAAACAATTTAGCCCAATTTCAGAAATCCAGCTGAGAAAAGCCAAAGGCTCAAGCGGGGCAGTAAACAGAAAACACCATATTTAGGTCACTGACTAAGACAACAGAGGCTGCTAGGCCCAAGGCATGACATTTATTTAAGTAAAAGCATAATTTAAAATTTAACCAGGCATTAAAACTCCCCCCGAAACAAAGTCTTCCTACAAACAAAATAAAAAACTGATGGAAGTGGGATTTTTTTTTTTTCAGAGCTGAGGACTGAACCCAAGGCCTTATGTTTGCTAGGCAAGTGCTCTACCACTGAGCTAAATCCCCAACCCCAGAAGTGGGAATATTTTTAACACATTGTGTTATAAAGAAATATCAAATACAAGGGACTATTAAAAACCATTGGAATAGGTCAGCAAGATGACTCAGTGGATAAAGGTGCTTGCTGTGTAGGCCTGGAGACCTGAGTTCAATAAGATGGAGGGAAGGAACCAGCGCCACAAAGTTGTCCTCTGACCTCGACTCGGGTGCTGTGTGAGAACTCTCACATAAAGTGACCTGGGTCAGGTGCCAGTGTGGGGAGGGGAAAAGTTTTGCCTATTTTGACCTTCTCTACCAGTCTTTTCAGGCTTTCTACATCTTATTGAGTATTTTAAAATACAACACATTTACAGCTGCAGCATAAAAATACTTCGCCTTATCCAGGTCCATTAATTCTGACCACTCATATGTTTTTGGCTCATTTGAAAACTAAATAAATAAATGTTCCACACTAACAAAACACTGGAATTCTGGGTAGCATTCTTGACTATAACTTCCTGAGAAACTCGGGGCTAAGGCCACCCTAGGATGCCCCAATTCCCATCCCTTAGAAACTGGTACTGAACGCAGGTGTTCATCGTTGAGTTTCTCTGTTGAGCTTCAGAGTGATTGGTCAAGCACCAGTGGATAACCCATAGAGGGAGGTTTGCAGAGACTGTATCAGATTAAAGACATCCACGTCAACGCCCAGTGTTATAGGATATATTTCCTAATGAACTGGGGGCTGGAGAGATAGCTCAGTGGTTGGAAGTACTGGCTGCTTTTGCAGAGGGCCAGGGTTCAGTTCCCAGCACCAATATCATGGCTCACGATCATCTGAAACTGCAGTTCTAGGAGATCTGTTGCCCTCCGGAGGCACAGACCCGCAGGCAGATAAAGCACATATACATAAAATAATAATTGAAAATGTAAATAAAAATCAATGAATTTTTGTTATATGCAGCTTACTCGTGTGCTGGGTTGTCTCGCTTTAATATGCAAATTGGTGAGTTAAATTGAACTTTTCCACTGTCAAAGCAAGTGCTACTGTTGTTAAAAACAACTTATGTCATCAGGCCTGTGTGCAAAAGTCTCTGCCCACCAAGCCATCTTGGCAGCCCTCAACTATCTAAATTTTTAAAGAGTCTATCATTCTGCTTCCCAGCTCTCACTCATGCCCATCTGTTGCCCTCGTGTTTGGGTGTTTTTGATGTCTGTTTGTGTGTCTGTCAGCTTTCTGTCGCTCTGATAAAACACTGGAGAGGGGCTGCTTTAAAAGGGAAATGGGTTTATTTTGGTTCATGGTTACAGTGCTCTCAGTCACTTGTTTCGTGGTCCCATTGCTGACGTGAGGCTGAACATCCTGTCAGAGAGTAAGCAGCAAAGCAGAGCTCCTGGGAAGCGGAGGGAGGTGGAGGCCAGGAAACAGGATCTCTCCATAAACCTTTCCACACTGGCCTACCAGCCTCCACTGGCTGCCTTCCCTTCTTCTCCTCCTCTTCCTTCTTTTTCTTCTTCTCTTCATCTTCTTCTCTTCTTCATTTTAAATATTTATCATTATCTATCCATTTATCATCTATCTATCCATCGATCATCTATCTATCTATCTATCTATCTATCTATAATCTATCATCTATCTATCTATCATCTATCTATCATCTATCTATCTATCATCTATCCATCATCTATCTATCCATTGATCATCTATCTATCTATCTATCATCTACCTATCTGTCTATCTATCTATCTATCCATTGATCATCTATCTATTTATCCATCTATCCATCTATCTATCTATCTATCTATCTATCTATCTATCTATCTATCTATCAGTGTGTATTGATATTTTGCCTGCATGTACATCTGTGCACCATGTGCATGCCTGGCACCTGTAGAGGTGGGAAGAGGACATCAGATCCTCTGGAACTAGAGTTACAGACAGTTGTGAGCTGCTATGTTGTGCTGGGAATCTAACCTGAGACCTCTGGAAAAGCAGCCAGTGCTATTAACCTCTGAGCCATTTCCTTAGCCACTCTTCCTTTTAAGAGGGAGAGGCAGAGAGAGAGAGAGAGAGAGAGAGAGAGAGAGAGAGAGAGCACATGTGTATTGGTGCCTGTGAAGGCCAGAGGTGTTAGGTCCCCTGGAGCTGGACATACAGGTGGTTGTGAACAGCCTGAAATGGGTGCAGGAAACTGAACTCAGGTCCTCCTGAAGGTCAGCAAGTGCTCTTAACCGCTGAGCCCTCTCTCCAGCCCTTAAATTTTTATTGTATTGGGTGATTGATGTTGACTGATTGATTGAGGAGTGTGTGGAGGTAAGAAGACCTCCACTTGTGGGTGTTATCCCTCTTCTTGTACCACGTGGAGCCCAGAGATCTAATTCAGACTGACAGGCCCGGTTGCAAGTGCCTTCATCAGCAAAGTCATCCCATACCTCAACCCGGTTATACTCACCTTCCCTCCTTCAGATTACCCTTCCACTATTTAAGTATTGCTTGATCTTAGAGCGCTCCTCATTACTTTTGCATCTCATTGAATTCATAAGCAGATGCAAATATTTCATCCAGAATTCCCAGATATTCTCAATGGGACTGTGGCTCAGGTTAGAGTTTTGTCACGTGCTAGAGATGAATCAGATCAGGCTTATTGATTATATTATCGCACCTCTGGTCTTCTATAGTGCCCTTGGAGGCCAGAATTGGGTATCAGATCCTCTGGAACTAGAATGACAGACAGCTGTAAGCCACTCTGTATGTGCTGGGAATCAAACCTGGGTCCTCTGGTAGACAACCAGGACTCTTAACCACTGAGCCATCCTTTCAGCCCCATATAAGTCCTTTGCTTATAGAGTTCACGTTTAGGGCAGACTTAGATTTATAGAAGAAATGCAAAGGGAAGGTAGAGCTCTCATATGCCCCACACTTACTCATCCAGTTACCAACATCTGAAGTTAATATGGCACGTTTGACCAATCAATAGTGGTGCAATGTTATTAGCTGAAGTTCCCAAGACACTCCTATTTACTTAGCTTTTGCTTAAATCTTTGTTTTTCTGTTTTAGGATCCATCTAGCTTATCACATTACATTGAATGGAAATGCCTCCTTATGATCCTTTTGGCTCTGACAGTTTCTTAGCAGGACTATCTGGACCCTCATTCGGTATAAATAATGACGCAGAGGCGTATTAATATTTTAAAGCTTGAGCGTTTTAGCTGGGCAGACTCTCAGCTACTCTAACCGAATCCCAGCTAATCCTGGTACTACATCCGTCACGTGGCCAGGTCTTTATCTCCTTACCTGTTCACATCCATTTACCCCGAGTCCCAGTGAAGGATCTGAATCTTTTCCCAGAGTGCCTCCCCCCCCCCCCCCCCCCCCGTTCCCCCCTCCCCTGCCTGCCAAGCTATTGGATTTCAGAATTTTAAATTATTGTTTTTATTTACTTTGGTGTTTGCCCTACATGTAGGTCTCTGGAACTGGGGTTGCAGACAGTTGTGAGCTGCTGTGTGGGTGCTGGGAATTGAACCCAGGTCTTCTGGAAGAGTAGCCAATGTCCCAATAATCTTTTTTGGGGGGCGTTACCTGCATGTATGTATGTGAGTGTGTCAGATCTTGGAGGTATAGACAGTTGTGAGCTGCCATGTGGGTGCTGGGAATTGAACCTGGGTCCTCAGGAGGAGCAGTCAGTGCTCTTAACCTCTAAGCCATCCATCTCTCTAACCCCAGATTTTTATTAAAGCAAATCAGATACAACTCTAGATTGCCTTAGACAGGTGAGGAAGGAACAAATATTTACAAAATACGTGATGGTGCTGGCACCATAGCTCTCTGCCAGTACGGAATTAACAATTGAATATACAGCGACCCACCTTCATACAGTGCACCCCAACAGTTTCTCTGACTTTCCTTGTTTTTGATGACCCTGAGAATTTTCAGAAGTACTGATCAGGTATTTTGCTTCATGGCCTTCAGTTGGCAATTAGATGATATCTGTCTTGTGATGAAAAAAAAAAAATTGCCAACTAAGGAGAGAGAGAGAACAAACCCAGACTTATAAAACTAGTAATGAAAGAAAGGTATGCTAAAATCAATTCTAATGAAATGCAGAGGATCATTGGAGAATATTTTGAAAAAGGGGAAAAAAGGCATTTAGAAGAAATGGATACATTCCTAGGCACATATGCCCAGCCAAACTTCAATCAGGAGGACAAAATTTGTATTATACGTGACCTAAACAAGAGAAGGTTAAAGCAGTGGCCGTCTTCTAACAAAAGACAGCTCAGGACTGGACACTCACAGCACCTTATTGCTGCCAGAACTATCTCCACAAAACAGAAGAGAATGCTATCACATTCCAGAACCAAGAAGGAGGGAAGAAAGGAGGGAGAGAAGGAAAGAAGCAAGGAAGGGAGGGAGGAAGGAAGGAAGGAAGGAAGGAAGGAAGGAAGGAAGGAAGGAAGGAAGGAAGGAAGGAAGGAAGCTAAAAGCCCAACAGGTAAATGCCCAACACCAACAAACTCAGTGATGTTGTTAAGGAGTTTTGGTCTCATATTGCTTTGTTTGCTCATTGTTTTGTTTGTCTTATTGATCTTTTGCTTGGTTATTATGGTTTTCAATGTAGTGTTTTGAGTTTTTTGCTTTTTGTGTGTGAGTTTCTTGTGGGTTTCTTTGGGGGAGTCTTGTTTGTTGTGGTTTTGTTTTGTTTGTTTGCCCCTTGTTTTCTAAAGAAAGAGAGAAATGGCATGGAATTAGGTGAATGGGGAGGCTGGGAAGATCTGGGAGGAATTGGGGGAGGAAAAAAGTTTGATCAGAATACATTGTCATGTTAAGACAAGCTCCTTAACAAACGGTAGTGGGGAAACTGGGCGGGCATGTGTAAAAGAATGAAACTGGATAGTGCAAAATGGGTCAAAGAGCTATAGCTCTGAAACTGCGAGCGGGAAATGCAGGCTTCCTGAGATGTAGGCAAAGACTATTTGATAAGGATTTGGAGTTCACAGGAAATAATCGCAAACACCGGCCGATGTACGTGCATGGAAACTAGCTTACACAGAGACACAGAAACAGTCTGCAGTAGAGAGGCAGCCTGCAGGATAGAAAACATGCTTAAGCTGTACATCTAACAGAGGGTTAATACCTGGACAGGAGGATGAAAAGGTGTAATGATCTATATCCATAAAAATGCCACAATAAAATCCATTTTTGTTAACAAAAATAACTAAAAAATTAAAAAGTAGATATTAAAACTTAAACTTACAAAAGGCTCTGAATTTAGAGACACCGGCTTTCCGGAGAAACGTTTAATATGTACTAAGCAGGGGCTGGAGAAGTGGCTCGGAGGTCGAGAGCACCTGCTGCTCTTGCCGAGGACCCAGGTTCAAGTCCCAGCACCAACAGGTTGGCTCTTGCCCTCCATCTTGTTGAAGCAAAGTCTTTCTCGTTTCTGAGGATGTCATGCTTACTCCAGGCTGGTTGGTCTGTCTCTGTCTCCCATCTCATCTCAGGACTGCTGAGATTACAGATGTTACAGATGTGTACTTCTGCATTGGGTTGCTGATTTTCCATTTTGCTTTTCATGGAGGTTCCAGGGACTGAACTCTACATCAGACCTGGGTGGCTAATGCCTTTACTCACTGACCCATCCCTTTGCTATTACTTGCAAGGTTGGCCTTCCCATGGGCCACTGAAATTTCAGACCTGTTCCTATAACCTGTTTTGAGTGGAGTGGCCAAATTCTAGGATCTGTGTCCTTCAGTACTTTCAAATCTCTACTCTGTTGAACCTGCTGATTCTTGAGAATATCCAAGTAAGTCCACAAAAGGCTATTATGTGCAGACCCCCACAGACAATAATTAAGAAAGTGGTGGTGGCACCATCCCAACACTCAGAAGTCAAAACCAGGCAGTTCAGTTAGTTTCAGCCTGGTCTGACACACAGCAAGTTTCAGGCCAGCCAAGGACTCACTATTACATAGGAAGAGCTTATCTTTAAAAGAAAAGAAAAATAAAGAAGAGGAAAAAAAAGAAAAGAAAAGAAAGAAAGAAGGAAGGAAGGAAGGAAGGAAAGAAAGAAAGGAGGGAGGGAGAGAGAGAGAGGGAGAGGGAGAGAGAGAGAAAGAGAAAGAAAGAAAGAAAGAAAGAAAGAAAGAAAGAAAGAAAGAAAGAAAGAGAGAGAAAGGAAGGAAGGAAGGAAGGAAGGAAGGAAGGAAGGAAAGAAGGAAGGAAGGAAGAAAAGCGGTGTGATAATGTAAAAACTGCTCTGTAAGATGGGCACTTAGAAGTGAGGTTTCTCTTGCATGACCACTATTTCAAGCCCAAACTTTATCACTGAGAAATCTTACAAGGAACGGAGCAACATTAAGATCCCGAGAGCTACGCTGGTGCTGACAGGCCTAAGGTTATACAAGAGGGTAAATGATAGCTCCAGTGAGGACCAGATCAAAGGAGGGACAGCAAATACTACGGGGAAGTTAGGTTCCTTTCCGACGAGTAAAGGTGACTTCACTGTGAGAAAAACGTAGCATCTTGTCTGTCTGTATCGGGATGCTTTCTGTGAGCATTGCTCCAACACAGTCCACTCATTTACTCAGCGTATGTGTCACGTGCTCATGACATGCTGGGTGCTGTCTGGGCACTAGGGATTCAGCTATGATGTGCAAAAATAACCCTTGCTGTCATGGTGATGTCCCTCCCTGTGATGCTCAGCACACAGAGAGGGGACAGTCTGGCTTCGTCCTTCGAATCAGTGACAAGGTGGGTCACAGAGCCACTCACTAAAAAGGCTTCAGGGAACTGAGCACTCGGCAAGCAGATCCCTAGACGATACAGGTAATCTGCGCCCTGACTTCTGGAGAACGCGCCTGCACGTGCACCATTCTGTTGGTTGTTACTGAACTGAGAAAAGGGAGCTTGTTCACAGAGTCCCACAAGGACCAAGCCCCTTAAAGTCGCCTCTGCTCTCCCATTTCTGTGTAAACCACACCTCAACGTCATCTGGAGAGCTTTTAGGGAGCCGTGACTGGAGTTTCCCCTCTTTAGGAACCAGACTTCCTTGGGATGCAATCAGGAGTCGTTAAGACAGTTCTCCTGGCTATTGAGCGGAGGCCAGGTTTGGAACTGTTGGAAGCATCCCAAGATCGGTCTGTCGGGGGGTCGGGGTGGCTTTCCTCCTTAAAAGGGTCAGATGGGGAAGCCTAAAGAAGCCCCGTGGGCAGAAAGCCCGCTAGCCTTCTTCCCCAACCTCCCCAGTCTCCTACCTCCCGGCCATCCCCCCTTTTGCCCGGTTTCTGCAGTCATGAAGTTTTTCTGCCCTTTGCTTGCAGGACAGTGACACTTGGAGCAGCAGCGCCGCACAGTGCCAAGGAACAAACACTACAGCGCTGCGCGCCTCGCAGGACGGCGCTTTAACAGAGCCGCGGGCCGCAGGCGCCCCCGTGTCCTGCAGGGGGCAGCACGTCCCCACTTGCTTCCGTGCTGACCTTGTGGGCCTTCCAGGTAGATGAGCCCCAGCTGTGCCAGATCAGCAGCCGAGAGCTCCACCTCCTGAAACTGGGACAACGGACCGCAGACAAGGAAGAGGAGAAGCCTAACAAAACCTCCCCACACGCCTGTGGGGCTTTAAACACAAATAGGGGAGGCTGGGAGATGGCTCAGCGGCTAACAGTGTTGGCTGCACTCGCAGAGGGCCCGGTCCGACTTCCCCAGAGCCCCGCTGCGGCTCACGACCGCTGAAACTCCAGTCCTAGGGGGTGTGACGAGGCAGGCACGTGGTTCCCGTGCACACTTGTAGGCAAAACACTCAGACCGAGAAAACCAACAATAAGCAACAGCAAAGGTGCCGTGCGCACCTGTCGCAGGTGTGTCTCGGGAACCGCGACGCTGTGCTGTTCACCGAGTCAGGCATTAGTTCTTGTCTGCGATATTTTGGCCTGACGTGTTTGTGTCTCTGTATTTCTAATTATGCATCCTTTGCCCCGATTTCTGGCTCTGTCACCCTGCCTCTGTCCGCCTCACTCTCTGCCTCCCCATCGGCCACAGACACACGCATTCAAAACTGTTCTGGTATTTATGTTGACAGAACTCTTCGAGGGCGGCGTCGAGCGAGGCAGCTAAGCGAATACAGATGGAAATAATATCACGAATGTAGACTAAGTCCACCAGACAGCCTGCTGGCTTTCTTCCTCAGCCCCTGTGCCTCCCTCTGCTTCCCAAGCGCTGTGATCAAAGGCGTGTGCCACCACGCCGGCTCTGTGTTTGTACCTTTGTGTGTGGCTAATTTTACTTGACATCGTGGCTTCCAGTTCCATCCGTGT